CAGCAATTAAGTGCACATTAGGAATTCAGAGATGAGCTCATCCTGAAATTTAGGAAGATGCACTGATCTTGCAAAAGAATTTCAGGATTCCTTTAAAGTACACCTTCATTTGGTGTACACCTGCACCCAGAACCCTTATTCTAAAGCTTGCATGGCTCCACGAGTGACAACTGCAACAGCAGTACGTCTAAAGGAAAACCAGCCTTTGAAGCCTTTCAACCTTGTTCTTGGGGACACATTTCAAAGCAAGTGCCATCATTACCTACACAGAAGGCTCCTGCTGTCCCAGAAAAGACCGTGCCCAGAGATTACTGTCAGTATTCTTAGCATGCCAACTCAGTCCTCTAACAAAAGTCTCTTCATCAAAGCATTTCTGTCTGTGCAGCTCTACACATAACAAGACATCAATAGGAGACCACAGTTGACTGAGGTTAGAATGTTTTAGTTGTTTAAATTTGAATAAAAAGAAAGGCCCTAACAAATGTTGCCACAGTTTGTCTACTTAGATAATTGCTTCCATTAATAAATTTTAAAAAAAGTAATAGTCCTAATGCTTTAGAAAAGTGTTTTTATTTTTTTAAAGATGGGTTTCACTATACAGCCTTGGCTGGCCTGGAGCTTGTTTTGTATCCCAGGCTGGCCTCGAACTCAAGAGATTCACCTGCCATTATACTCAGCCGGAAATTTTTTAAAAACGTTTTCTAAGTTGTTTTATGAAGCAGGCCATGGGGCTGGAGAGAAGGCTCAGAGGTTAAAAGACCTAGGTTCAGTACCCAGCACCCACATGGTGGCTTAAAACTACCTGTAACTCCGGTTCCAGGGGATCAGACATCATCTTCTATCCTCCTCCTCAGGCACTGCACACAAATAATAAACATACAAGCATGCATGCATGTAGGCAAACATTTACATAAAAACAAAATTTTGCTTAGAGGGCAAAGGTACTTGGCTTTCCAAGCCTGGGATCAGAGTTTGATCCTGGGAAACCATGCAAAGGTAGTAGAGACCTACTTCCACACAAGCACATGGCATGAACCTCCTCTCTTAACACAGTAATACACTGAAAAAGAGAAACTAGGCATGGTAATCTAATTATTCAGCAGCCTGAGGAAGGAAAATTGCCATGAGTTTGAGGTTGGCCTGGGTTACACACCAAGACCCTATCTCAAAAAGTAAGTAAGAACTGGTAAGATGGCTTAGTGGGTAAGAGCACTGACTATTAAGCCTGATAACCTGAGTTAAATTCCCAGGACCTACAAAGTAGAACCAGAGAACTGACTCTCACAAGTCATCCTCTGACCTCCATATGCACTACATGGTATATGTACCCCACACCAAATAAAGCTAGGCTCTGTGGTTTACACATTTAAGCTCAATGGGAGGTTGAGTGTACTGGCTAGTTTTATGTCAATTTGACACAAGGTACAGTCATCAGAGAGGAAGAAGCCAAAATTGAGAAAATATCTCTGTAAGATGGGGCTGTACACAAATGCCTGTAGGGAAATTTCTTAATTAGTGATTGATAGCGAATGTCCAGCCCATGGTGGGTGGGCCTGCCCCTGGGCTGGTGGTCCTGGGTTCTATAAGCAGGCCAAGCAAGCCATAGGGAGCACTCCCCATGGCCTCAGTATCAGCTCCTGCCTCCAGGTTCCAGCCCTGCTTGAGTTTTGTCCTGAATTCCTTCAGTGATGGGCTAATGTCAAAGTGTAAGACAAATAAACCCTTTCCTCCCTAACTTGTTTTTGGTCATGGTGTTTCATCACAACAATCAGAACACTAACTAGGATACTGAGGTAGAAAGATTGCCATAAATTCAAAGCCAGATTGGGCTACAGAGTAAAAATCTATCTTAAACAACTTTCTTTCTTTCTTTTTTGTTTTTTTTTGTTAAGTGTTTTAGGTCATCTGTTTAGTATAAATCTACCTAAGTTAATAATGAAGATGATAAAGAACACATATAAAATCCAACTAGAGCGCCACAATTTATCCAAAGAGACAGAGCTGGTTCCAAACTACCTAGCAGCAAATGCTACATTTACTAGTACCTCCAAATGTCTCTAGTGAATGGATTCTTGAACAGCACCCCTTGAGTGGAGTCCTGCCTTCCTAACAGATAGTTGGCTAGGATAGTGGTGCCATTGCCTACAATAATACCTAATGTAGGGCCAGGCAGTGGTGGCACAGGCCTTTAATCCCAGCACTCAGGAGGCAGAGACAGGTGAGTTCGAGACCAGCCCTGGTCTACAGAGTGAGTTCCAGGACAGGTTCCAAAGCTACAGAGAAACCCTGTCTCAAAAAAAAAAATACCTAGTATAGAGAAAGCAATATGTTTTTGAGAAACAGTTGTAAATTCTGTTCAAAGTTTAGTTCTAGGATGGCTCAGGGGTATGTTGCATGTACACAATCCTAGAACACCAAATACAAAAAAACCGTTTAACATACAAGTTAGCAAAATTAGAGAAAATATGCTCAAAAGAGCAGCCATCATTCTTCCAGGGGCATACTGACAAGCTAACAGCTGGGATTTCACATCTTCCATTTGAACTCTATATGCTGTTTATGATATAGAAGCTATGGCAAAGTCCACTGTGATAACAGATGTAAAAGGCTTTGGAAGTACAGAAGAAATTGCAAGTGGAAACTGACAGTAAGTAAGTTCAGATATTAGGATTTGTTAAACTTGAAGATGTGAAAACTTCATTTTCATCAGAAGTTACGAATCCCACACGTGTTTTGTTTATTGCTTAGTAAATTGAAGTATTAAACTGACAACTTTCTGGGGAGGCAGGTTTGGTTGTTAGGTGGACTAGGGCACTGGATAGAGGAGAGCTGTGAAAATAGTAATCCTGTGTGAGAGAGAGCTTCAATTCAGGTCAACAAGTATTAAATCAAGTTCCTATTATGAAGTGCTATATGATGTTAGACATATATAACCAGTCTGCCATTGAAGATTTTGGATGCTTCTTAAATATGGCAAAGGAAAATCTCTTGCTTGGATTATATGAATTGCTTTCATACAGTAGAATGTTGGAATCGCATGATGATTGCTTCAGTCCTTAAGTATCAAAGTAGGTCATCAATCCTTATGGGGCAAATCTGAAATAGGCTAAATGTATGACACATTTGTCTTCTGGACATGGAGAAAGGTGATGGCAAATTGGCATTGTAACTGCTAGGTAGCTTCAATTATAGAAGTACAGGTATCCATCTGGACTTAAGTCGTTGTACATTAAGGGATCAAGACAGACAGAAATAAATAATGAATTACCAACGCTCCAAAGAGGTACCTGTTTTTCTCTTCTCTAAGTACGTGTCATTCAAGTCCACATTTTTCTTTTTCTGTCAAATTCAGTGGAATTGTGAACAAGCAGCAGTGTTTAATAGACAACTCAAAGAGATGATAATTTTCACTACAAGTTTAGAGTGGAAATAATTCTCTAGAATGGCACAAACGGATGCTTGGAAGAATTCCTGACGATCACTCTGAATGGTGGTTAAGAATGTTTGCTCTGGAGTCTGCAGTGAAAACCTCATTTCCCCAACAGTATCTACTTGAGCCAGAGGTAACCTATGGCAACACATGATGTTATTGTGTTAAGAGCCTATCAGTGTCCTCAAGTGCAAAATCCTACTACGATTGTGCAAGAAAATGGGCCACTGGCTTCAGACTGAGGGCACTCTGAGATTATTCTCTGGAGATGCCACAATCAAGAAAGTCAAGGCAGATAATTTCTAATTGAAAATCCAAATGCAAAAAAAAAAGGTATAACAGAACTCTTCTCAAATAATTTAACTTGGCACCCAATGAACGACGCCTAAGTAATAAATCAAAACAAAACAGTCTGACACCCAACTGAGTAAGTTGTACACTGGGGTGCTAAGGTCTGAACAGTGTCCACAGTCTCCCCATCCCGAGTGTGTAGGATCAAAAATACTAGCTCCCATATTCGGCTTTAAGGAGTCCACCTAACTCTTAGCCTCTGCTTTCTGGGAAACGGGATAACAAAACATCACTCTCACAGAGTGATGGCGCGGGTACCGCACAGCAGTACTGCCCCCCCCCCACCTGCAGCGGCTTGCAGACTCTGAGGGCCATGAAAAGCGCCTGAGGGCAGCAGGACCAGGAGCAGAGTCAGCAGCTTGCTTTTAGAGCGGGCACACTGGTTCACCCCTGCCCACCTCAGAGGTCCCCGAAGGAGACAGATCCGCTCATTTTCTTAAAGCGCCGAGCACCAGCCTGTATTGCGCATCCGCAGGGCCGAGGGCCGCGCGCTTGCTCTCGGCGGTCGGGATGGGCGGATCCGCTGCCAGGTGAGCGTGAGGAGCCCCGGGCCGCGCATCCCAGACCACCAGCCTAAGGAACTTTCTAGCACTTTCCACACCTGCCGCTGCCCGGGCCTCCACCCCCAGCCCCGGCGACCTCGCCCTCACCTTGTTGGAGGTCCCGGTGGTCGTACCACGGTTCATCTTCTATCTCAAACTCCTCCACCAGGTTATCTGTCAGCATGTTGCCGGGGGCGTCCGGGGGCAGCGGGCTCTGCCGCCACCGTGCCGTCTCGGCCGCTGCCCCGGGCTGTCCCCCGGCCCCTCCGCCCTCAGCCAGAGCCGCCCTCGGGCGGGACGCGCCGGCCCCGCCGCGGCTCCCGCCGCAGGCCCGCGTCCGCCTCGCGCCGCCCAACGGCCAGCGCCCTAGCGAGCGCACCCCGGGTGGCGCCCGGAGCCGGCTCCTCACGCCCGCTGCCCGGCCCAACGTGGCACTTTGGCAGAGCCCTCCCAGGCCGGGGAGACGATTCAAACCCGGGCGGCGCCTTGACCAATTGCGAATGGGTCCCCGGTAGAGCGACGGCGACTTCAGCCAATAGTATCTCAAAGAAGGTCGCGGGCCCGAGTGTCATTGGCCAATAGTGGCTCAGTAAGGAACAAAGGAGGCGGGTAAAGGCTGAGAGGGTGCGGCCGGCAGACCCGCCCCTTTTGTTAGCGTCTCGTCTTCTCAGTGAGTGCACTCTAGTTCCGGAGTGTGGAGGTGGCTGCGGTCACACTCTCGGCTCTCTGCGTGTGTGTATTGTACCCAACTGCGGAGGACTCGCGGCTCTGGGCAGTGGGCGTCATTTTCCCACCCGAAGGTTTCGAAAGCGGGCCAGCCCTCCTCGGCTTTGCCCTCGGTGATGCGCGGAGGGAGATTCAGGGAGGGTCGCGAGGTTAAGGCCGAGAGAACGCTATTGAGCCAAAGCTGCTCGTAAATGTCTGAGCTCGGGGAATGGAAATTAACTCCTAAAACGGCGGTCACCAGCCCCACTTGACATTCTGAGGCCGGGACCGGCCCGTGGGAACCGCCTCCCGTGGGAAAAGTTGCCGGCAGTTTTCCATAATTTTTTTTAAAGGTTCATAGAACCCAAGGGAAACACCTGGGAACAGGCGTTGCACTTGTGGCCAGCAGGGCAGTGTCCGCTTGGTGACGCAGACATAGTTTCTTGCGTTGAGCTTTTAGCACCTTCGGGTACCTCACACGTGAAAACTCTGAAACGGAGAAAGGTCAGTGAAGCTGTTAGGATTTAGAGCTATAGAGCTAATACACAGGGTCTAGCGTGGAAACGAGAAAAATTGTAACAAGTAGAAGTAAATATTTAGCTTTCGCAATAGTGAGTCGCTAGATTCCTTTTGAAGTTAGTGCCACCTTCGTACAGATCCAGAGTGTCACCAGAATTAAAATGGAAAGCAGTTATCCAAAAAAAAGCGTCAGTCGTGTGGCCATAAAAAATGTACACAAATTACTATGGTTAAAAATAGGAGAAATTACTAGGAAGAAATTACAGATCCTCAGTTACTTTTGTTTCTCCATATAAACGAATAAGATCTTGGGTAATTTGGAGAAAGGATAACTTCAACCTTATTTTTTTTTTTCAGTGCTAAGGATGAACCTAGTGCCTTGTGCATGCCAGACAATCACTACCCATCTTCATTCTTTCGGGCTATAAAATGCATCTTGCTCAATCATTGTAACACTAAGTACCTGCTCCTGGGATAGTGGTCTGATGAAGGCCAAGAAAGCCTTCCTGGTGTGTGGTTTGTTTTTGTGTCTCACCGTGTAGCCCCAGCAGGCCCGACACTCACTCTGTAGATTAGGCTGACCTGGAACTCACAGAAATCCATCTGACTCAGCCTCCAGAGTGCTGGGATAAAAGCCATGCATTACCACATCCTTTCTCTACAGCGAAGTTGTTCTGGGAGGTTTTCCTCTTCATTCCTAAAGGAAGTCCTCTTAATAGACTAGAAAGTGCCAAGGACCTAGAGTTAGAAATCTAGGTGTCTAGCCACGGTTTGTACTAGCAAGGAAGACCACTTAGGGGAGAGATGACTTTTTGCTCAACAGAGTTGTGAGAATCAAAGAAACTGTACCAGTAAAACTGTTATTTCTAACACTTATTGTGAAGGCATTGTTAAGAATGACAGTTAGCATCAGAATAATACACTTCTCTTTGCCTCCCTCTTCCTTCCTTTTTTTCCTCCTGTGGTACTGAGGGGTCACTCACATGCAAGAAAAGTACTAAGTCACAGTCCCAGCCCACACGTGTTAAAAATAAGTAGTAATAGCAACATTACAACCTGTTAATGATGAGTTCATGATGGTATAAATTAAATGAGAAAGAAAGTTTTTCTTATAGGGGAATGTCAACCAAAAATATAAAATGACAGAGTAATGTTAGCTGGGTATGGTGGTACCCTCAGGGATGGGAATGTGGAGACAGGAGGGTTGTGAGTTGGATACCAGCCTGGTACACATTGTAAGATGCTGTCTCAGAAAACAAAACAAAGTAGAGCAGGCCAGATAGTTCGGTGGGCAAAGGTCCTTTGCAGGGACCCACATGGTGCAAGGCAAGAACCGACTCCCACAAGTTGTCTTCCGACTGCCACTTGCATATTGTGACACACACCCCTCCCTAACACAATAGATGAGTACAATCTTAAACAAGTAGTGATATCAACAGAGAAATGGCAAAATGATAAGCTCCTTCTGAGTACAAGTACACTAAAGGGCAAGGCGTCACATGTCAACTTTTCATTGCTATGTTTTTGAAACAGAAATCTAGGTCCCCTGTAAAGCCTCTTCTCCCTGAAATGTCAGTATATCAGTCCAGACACAGAAATTAGACAATGTAGAACCAGTTAAAACAGACAGAACCCTGTGGAAAGAAAAAAAATTCAATTTAGGACTTACAGACTTGTGACAGCTGAATGCCTGGAATCATGCCTCTGACTTCTGACCTCAGTCACTGTTCTAGAAGACCCAGGTGGTGGCTGTTTTCTCCAGGGCAAATCCATATTAGCTCCAAATTCGGGGGAGTATTGGAATGGTCTTTAAGGAACAAATCCTACACATTTTATTTATTTTGGGGTGGGTCTGTGGACTCATTTTTAGGAATGCTGTCTTCAAAGACCACCTTTGTGTGTGTTCTGCAAAATCCTGAACAAAAAGTGCATTGAGAAAAGCATTTGGAGCTAAAAAGCTTTGTCTTACAAGGGTCTTCACAAACCAATCATAAACAGCATAAAATTTGGCCTAGAAGTGGGTTAGTGAATAACTATGCAAGTTGATACTAAACAGAAGGCTTCATGTTTACCTAATAATTTACCAGTGTACAGTGTACTCTCCTGACCTTACCTTAGTCTCTTCTGTATAAAACACTTCTTGGTAAAGACAAGTGGGATTCTGGAATTCCTTGTTCTTGACTGTAAAGATGAAACACTCTCAACATTGTATAGTAAAATCATGTTAAGGGAGTTTTTTAGTGATAGCAGCTTTTAAAGAATAAGTGATTTTTAGTTTGATACCGAAATAAACCTTGACTAGATGTAGCTGGAAGGAAAATATTCATTTTTTTGGTGAGGTAATTAAGGAAGATGTTTTCCCTCAATATATGGAAGAAATCTCAGAGTTTTTCCACAATACTTAAACTTTGTATTCTTCACTTCAGGCAGACTGGGAATTTAATTCTTTGAAAAATTCTTCTTTTGAACTTGGGGAGCTTATGAGACTTTGCAAAAATTCAAGTCTGTGAATGTCTCCCTTCTGACTTAGTGATAGAAGAACAGTTCAGAAAGGCACAGCATGCTTATGCAGGAAGCCTGAAATAAAAGAAGGAAAAAAAGCCTAGATTTTTGTGGGCTAAATTTGTATCTTGGCTTTGGGTTCTACCAACTCCCCCCACTACTTCCCCCTAAGTTACAAGGTGACCTCTAGCCTCAGTTTTCTTTCAAATTTACACCAAAAGTAAATCTGTAGGGTGAAGCCTTCACCAGTTCTTCCAGCTTTTCTAGTTTGAAAATTATCTTTTAAAGTCAAAAATGTTGACTGACCTCATGATATTGTAGTACTTGGACTTATTAAGCCTTGAGAACTACATAATGATGAAATGAAAAACAGATTTTATTATTAAAGCAGAATTTATGTGTATTTAAAAGATACAGCTACATGGCACTGGAGACATGACTCATTGGCTAACTGCCCCTCAGCTTGAACTGACACCTGTGGCCTCCACAGTCACGTACACTTATGGGCATACCAGCCCTGCACCACCCTCATAATTAAAAACAAAAACACTTGAGCCAGATGGTGCGGCACACACCGTTAGTCCCAGCACTTGGATGCCAGAGGCAGGCAGATCTCCAGGTTCAAGGCCAGCCTGGTCTACATAGTGAGTTCCAGGATGGCCAGGGCTTGAAACCCAATCTTGAAAAACCAAAACCAAACCAACCAAACAAACAAACAAAAACTCCAAATATACACAGATAAAAGATTTCATTGCTGTCATTTCAGTACTGGAGATTGTACCCAGGGTCATCCTCATGCTACATAGGCACTCTAACAAATGAGCTACAGGCCATGCAAAAACATTCTTTATTAATCCACTGATAGTGTTTCATATGGTTTTTGTAGTCCTTTCTGTTTGTTTCTGTCTGTGACACAGGCTCTTAATGTTTAGCCCAGGCTGGCTCCAAGCTCATACATGATCTTCTTCAGTTCCCATAGTGCTAGGGTTATTGGTATGCAGTAGCATGCCCAGCTTAATAACCCTTTTTGATAATTCTGGAGCTCTATGGTGCATACAGTTAAACTACTTATTGGGTCTACCAGATTGGAAACCAATAATTAAAGGGGCAGGTTGACACAGATTTTCACAGAACCTAGGCTGGTCTTGAATTCACTTTTTTGAACCTATCTCAGCCCCCCAGAGTGATGGGATTACAGGTCTGCACCACCATACCCAACTTTTGCTTTATCATTTTTGGTTTTCTCTGTGGTTTGGGGAACCAATAACTTGGTCATTTGTGATGATGGTTCCCTTTCTACTTGCCTTTCCTCTCAAGGATTTGGGCACTATAGAATGAGCTGTCTGCTTAATTTGTTCCAGACACTCTTAAGGTTAAAGCAGAAGCTGGAAGACTATTCAGGCAAGTAATATCCTCAGATTATGAGGCAATGCATCTCTTCTCCAGTTCAGTAAGTCTATAGAAAGCTGGTGAAATTGTCTGGTTAGCCAAGGATAATGAAGACCAGTGGGGTGCAGTAGTAGAGTCCTCTAATTCTACCATACAAGAAGCTGAGGCAGGAAGATTCAGAATTCCAAGCCAGCCTGAGCTACATTATCTTAAAAATGTAATCAATAAATCAAGTTTTAAAAGGTTAATCTTGGTTGGAGAGGTAGCTTAGTTGGTAATATGTTTGCCTAGCATACATGAGACCCTGCACTTGATCCCCAGCACCATGAAAACTCGGCATGGTGCTGCACACCTGTAACTCTAGCACTTGGAAAGTGGAGGCAGTTCAGGGCTAGCCTCCGCGGCATAGCAAGTTTGAGGTCAGCCTTTGAGCTCATGAGACCCTGTTGGGGCAAACAAAACAAAAACAAGCTAAATTCACATCTCCCTTCTGCTAACTAACCTTTCCCTATTTTCCAGTTGTACAGATCATAAGGTAAGAGGGACTTCTAAATTAGAACAAGAGTATGTTATTTCTGGTTCCTCTTAGATATATGGCTTTTGGATCAAAGCTGTAGACAGAGTTTTCTTTGGGCTGCCAGCTCACAAATGACACGGAGACTTACTAGTTATAAAAGCTTGGACTTAGCTTAGGGTTGTCCCTAACTAGTTCTTTTAACTTAAATTAACCTGTATCTTTTAATCTACGTTCTTTTACATGGCTTGGTTACATTTACTCTGTACTACCCATCCTGTTTCAGGTTAGTGACTTTGCCTTTCTTTCTCCCCTTGTTCTCTCTCTGCTCAGAAGTCCCACCTATCTCTCCTGCCTAGCTATTGGTTGTTCAGCTTTTTATTCACCAATCAAAGCAATATATCTTCACAGTGTACTATCCCACAACACAAAGCTACATAGTCCATCAAGAGAAGGTCACATAACTCTTGCACTACAAGTGTGTATTGTGGAATGAGCAGCTTATCACAGATAAGGACCTTCTATTCCTCTTTTGATTTTAGCAAAAGGCTGGCATCTCACTGTTGATTTTCTGTTCCTCCTCCTCAGTTAAGGAGGCTGATGCATAAATTTATCTCCCTGACCACAAGGTAAGCATGTCTAAACTCTTGCCTAAGTCAAACTTTATAATTTAGAAGACACATGAAAATGTAAGGAGAGACTGGAGAGATGACTCAGTTGCTAAAGCATGTACTGTGAAAGCATGAGGACCGGAGTTCAATCATCTGCATCCATGTGAGAAAGCAACAGTCAGGTGTGGTGGCATATTTATGCCTGTAATTCTAGCTCTGGGGAAGCAGAGACAGGAAGATCGCTGGGTCTTTCTAGTCACTAATTTTGCTGAAGAGGTGAGATCCTGGTTCAGTGAAAGACTCTCAAAAAATAAAGTGAAAAGCAAAGTAGAAGATACTCAGTGTCTACATGTGGTCTTTGCACATGCGCACACACATACACACAATATAACTAAAGTCATATTTTATGCAAATTGGGAATCATGCAACATCTCAAAATGTTGCATAAGTATAAAATAAATAGATAAAGAAATCTGGTGATATTCACAGCAGTTATTTTTGAATTTTAACTAAAATTACTAATGTTAATGGAATTTTATTACCCATCAACTACTATATGCAAATAATGAATTATAACCTCTTTGTTTTTAAACAGGAAGGAAAACTTCCTCTGCATGGAAAATGACATTTTTAAATATCAAATCCGCAGCCTGGGCATACTCTCTGATTACACTAGGAACTGAAATGTTAAGTTCTTTCTTCAGTTTCTACTGTGTGAAACTTTTCTTGGAACTGTACAAGATTTCAGAATTGGCCTTCTATCAATCCCAGGTACATGCAAAATATTTACTCCTTAAATGTAGGACAAAGCTCTCTTTCTTATGGAGGTATTTTACTGTATTTTTTAAAGTTTTTTTTAATTTTAATTTTAAATAGCTTGTTTTACATGTCAATCCCAGTTCCCTATTTTACTGTATTTTATCAAAGAGTGGATTCTTCACACACCTGCAAGAGTTATTAAAAAATGAATGCTGTGATGATAAAAAAACAAACATGTAATCTCAATACTTAAGAAACTGAGGGAGATTGCTGAGAATTCAAGGCTGGTCGAGGCAAAATAGAGGGGTCCTATCTCAAAAAGAAGGAAAGAGAAGGAGGGAGGGAGAGAGAGAAAGGCAAAGGGAATAGGTTGGGAGAGAAGAGAGGGAAGAAGGAGAAGGAGATAATGTCTTAGTCATGGTTACTATTGCTGTGATAACCATCATATCCAAAAGCAAGTTGGAGAGGAAAGCGTTTGGCTTACACTTCAACATCATAGTACATCACTGAAGGAAGTCAGGGTAGGAACTCAAACAGGGCAGGAAGCTGGAACAGGAGCTGATACAGAGGCAATACAGGAGTGCTGCTTACTGGCTTGCTCCCCATGGCTTGCTCAGCCTGCCTTCTTACAGGACCATTTTTGCTCAGGATGTCACTACATGGACAGGGCCCTTCCACATCAGGCCTAATTAAGAAAATGTCCTACAGTCTTGCCTGCTGCCCAGTCTTATGAAGGTATTTTCTCAATCGAGGCTCCCTCCTCTCAGATGACCCTACCTTGTACCAAGTTGACAAAAAAATTAACCAGCACATATCCTATACCTTGAAAAGCTTCATAATATTGACAGATTGTATTATAACTTATCATACATGAACCAAATGGATAGACACAATGTTTTTACATTTTCTCTTGTGCTTTGTGACGTTGCTTATTACAGAACTACATATTTACTATGTTGATTTTGAGTTGATTTATTATTGGTATCTTAATCTTTCTTAGTGTAGATAGGCAAAACGATGTCTTAGAAGAGTAGAGAAATGACTCATTGATTTAGAACACTTTTTGCTCTTTCAGAAAATGTGGGTTCAGTTCCCAGCACCCATATGGTGTCTCATAGCCATCTGTAACTCCAGTTCTAGGGAATCTGATGTCCTCTAATGGCTTCCATGAGTCCCAGACAAGCACCATGGTATACATGTAGACAAAACATTCATAGACATAAAAAATTAACAAGAGGAAGGGCCTGAATTTCATGAGGAAGTATGGCCTTATGTGCCACAGTGGAAGACATAATCTGGGTTCACTGCTTTGATCCCAATGGTGTTCTATTCAGTTAGCTAGATGAATTGCTTATCTTCCCTGTCTGCATCGTCTAATTTTGTAAGTTGGGAGGAATAACAGTGCCTATCTCAGAAGGTCATGCTTTTTTAAAAAAATTAATAAAATAATACATGTAAACACTTGTACTATACCTGAATGCAAAATAAATAAACATTGGATTTTGAGCCATCCTGCCACTATTATTAGTGGTTATGAATAGTTCTGAAAACTGGGACTTTTCCCGCTTCAGATACAAAACAAAACAAAAAAAATCATGTTCTTCCTTCCTGTTTCCTGCCTCCCCTCTTTTCTTCCCTCACTCCCTTCTGCTCTCTAGGTCAGTGTGTAGTGCAGTCAGGTCTCAGACTCAATGATGCTCCTCCTTCAGCCTCCAGGGGCTGAAATTACAGGCATGCTCCACCATACTCAGCCTCAGGAGTCATTCTCATCTTGAATGTAGTAGTCTACACTACTAACAGCTATACATAATAATCCTATGTGTATTTTTTCTCCTTAGGTAATTTTAATGATCTGTAATGTTCTGAATGACCTGAGTGGGTCTTTTCGAATGAACTCTCAGTATGATTGCTGTCTAAGTTACCACTGTTCCCTGTTTGGAGCCCTTTTGCATTCGGTGGTCTTCCTGCTCCCTTGGTTCCCATGGAAACACTATCAAGAAGGTGACTGGCTGAATGGACTTCATCTGGCAGTGTCCCTGTGCGCCTTTGACAGCACCCTTGCCTGGGTGCAGCAAGCCCAGTGTCGCTTGTTTGCAGAGACTTTCCCCAGGCATGAGAGCCGGCTGCAGCTGATGAAAATTAACCAGGTGGCATCCCTACTGGGCTCCACCAGCATCCTTTTCTGTGGCCTCATCTCTCACAACATGGAAATCCTGCCCAATTTTCAGGTCGTTGCTGTCGTCATTGCTTTCCTGGCATCTACCAGCCTTTACAGTGGCATGTTCCATATGAGTCATTTTGAATGTAAAAGAAGCCCACAGGAAACCTTCCTCTCTGAGAGTGAACAGGAGCTGGCGTGGACCTCCACCATCTTACCAATGAGGCAACTCTTGTCTCAGAAGAACTTCCACCTTTTCCTCATCATGAATTTCTTTCAAGTCTTTCACTTGACCTTCTTCAGTAACTTCATGATGATCTTTGCAGATAACCTCATTCCCATTGAGGTTCTCTCTTCTTCCGCAAGGAGCATCATGTATGGGGCTGGCTTCATCTGCCCTCAGGTATGTGAAGATTCTCCATGCGTCGTCTTAGGACTAAAATGAACTCTTCACTGTCTGAAGAGGTAAAAAATGTGACTAAATGAGTAGTGTTCCTAATTGACTAGCAACTCAAATAAGAGAAAGAGCTCAGATGCTGTACAGGATCCCATAGACACAATGGAAAAGCAAATGAAAAGCAAGCAAGGGAAGAGCACAGTGAGGGCCAAGCAACATGATTAAAAAGTTATGTTTATCTATCATGTGCATTTATGTATTTGTTTTGAGACAAGGTCTCACTATATAACCCTGACTGCCATGGAGCTTGCTAAGTAGACCAAGATAGCTTGGAACTTAGAGAACCACCAAGTCTAGACAATTGTGTGCATGTGTGATTTATGCATGTGTCCGGGGTGACTTGTGGAGGTCAGAAGACAGCTGGAGGCATGGTTTCTCTCTTTCCATCATGTGGGTTCCAGCGATTGGACTCAGGTGTTTCAGCTTGGTGTCAAACCATCTCTATGAACAGTATTTAAAACATTTGGCTTTGGATCTAAGCACCAGCAAAGCTGTGGAAGAAGTAAATGGCTTCCTTTGAGTGTATATTTTTGCTTTGTTTAGGCATTTACAATTTTGTCTTCATGGAAGAAATCTTAGAAGGGGCAGGAAAGAAAGACAGGGAAAATCAAGGCACATAGAAAGGGAAAGGAGTCCCTCACCCCTGCTGGCTAAGAATCAAAGACGCTTATAAACAAGATTATGAATCACATCCGGAGTCAAGAGTTTAGGCCTGGAGTTCCTTATGACCTACATACCTTGAGGATTCCTTTAACCTTTGACCTGTGTGTTTTTTTTCTACCAGTCTCTCAATAACCACCTTATAATCTCATTTAGTAAACACTAAAACAGTTTGTACTTACTCTTCTCTTCTTCTTTTGCTTTTCTTTTCTCTTTTCCTTTTGAGACATTGTTGCTCTGTAGCCCAGACTGGCCTAAAACTCATGGCAGTTCTACTTAGCCTTGGGAAAGTGCTGAGGTTACAGGTGTGAGCTGAAACACCCAGCATACGTAACCTTTAACACCTTTATCAATAGAACTGGAAAAACCATTGAAACTATCTATAGATAGCTATTCTTAGGACTCTTATGTGTAACTGGGAATGATGGCTTATGCCTGTAATCCTAGTACTCAGGGAGGCTAAGGTAGGGGGGACTGTTACATGTTTGAGGCTAGCCTTGGATACAAAGTAACACCAAAACCTAAAACTAAACAGAGCAAAACAAAGTACACAACAAAAAAAGACACTTAAATGTTACCTTTTTGAGAGGCCCAAAGCTGTACTACTATTCTTTTCTCTACGCCCTCCCCATCACTTCTTAGTAATTGCTGATTAAAACAAACAGACAAAAAAACCCCACGAGTCAACCTGATCAAGAATTCATGAAGCAGGGTTTCAAAACACTTGGCTAAAAGCCTGAGTTCTGGGACTTCAGAGCGCTATTAAAATTCCATGGCCATGACCCTTATGGACAATGGTATGTTCCCTGTTAACTATTTGGAGTGCTGACATATTGTTACCTTCAGCCAACTGTGTTCTCTAAATCTATGACTTAACCTAGCCTGTGATACAGATTTCTTCTAATTTTGCAATTAAATAATGGGTAAAACTTGGTATTTAGACTTTTTTTTTTGGTTTTTACGAGACAGGGTTTCTCTGTATTGTTTTGGAGGCTATCGGTCCAGCCCAGCCTCGAACTCACAGAGATCCGCCTGCCTCTGCCTCCCGAGTGCTGGGATTAAAGGCGTGCGCCACCACTGCCCAGCTTTATTTGCCCCATTTTTAAATAAGTTGTTTTCTAATTTTTGTTCATCATGTATTTTTAAAAACCATACTTTATACCTATCTTCTATTTTTTATTTTAATCTTGTGTGTATTAATATTTGTGTATGTGTGTGCAGTGTATGTACACATGTGTGCAAGAGCATGTGGAGGCCAGAGAACAACCTTGAGTGTCTTTTTCTCAGGTGCTACATACCTAGTTTTCTTCTTCCTTCCTTCCTTCCTTCCTTCCTTTCTTTCTTTCTTTCTTTCTGAGACAGGATTTCTCACTGGCCTGAAACTCACCAAGTAGGCTGGATGGGCAGCAAACCCCAGGGTTCTGCTCATTGGCCTGTGTCTTTTTTTTTTTTCTTTTTTAAGCTGGAGTCTTGCTATGTTGCTCAGGCTGAATTCAAGCCCAAGATCATCTTGCTTCCTACTCTCAAGTGCAGGATTCACACATTTGCCCCAAACTCAGCTCTTGTATTTTTATTAATGAGTTATATTGACCCTCTATAAAAATTTAAATAAAATCTATTATCAGATAGATTGCTTATATTTTTCCAATTTCTTAATGGCATAGAAAGTGAGAGTCAAAATTGTTTTAGTTACTCTGGTCCCTTGAACATTCCTATGAATTGTAGGATCAATCTGTCAATTTCTATGCAAACATTATCTGGAATGAAACACAGTCCTCCTACCTCAGTCTCTGCTAGCTTGGATTGCAAGTCTGTATCCTTAGGCCTGGATAGATTTTTTAAAAATTTAATTTTAATTTTTTGGGAATTACATTGTAGTTACCTCATTTACCTCCTTCCCTGTCCTTCCTCCAACTCCCACTCTCTTGCTGTCTCTCAAATCCATGGCCTCTTTTATAAATATATAAATATACCTTGCTCAGTCCATAAAATGCTACCTGTATGTACATGATCTCAGAGCTGACCGCTTGGCATTAGATAATCAGTTGAGGCTTTTCCACGGGAAAACCTGTACCAGATTTTCTTTTTTAGACCACCAACTAGCTCCCGAATCATGACATGGAGACCTCTTATTAGTTATGAATGCTCAGCCTAACTTAGGCAAGTTTCTGGCTAGCTCTTTTAAATTAACCTGTTTCTCTTTATCTACCTTTCGCCTCAGGGGGTTTCACCCTTTCTTTCTGTATGTCCTACTTTCCTGCTTCTTCGGTGTCTGGCTGACTGGTGGCTTCCTGGTTGGTCTCCAGCTTCTCCCTCGTTCTCTCCTCTTTCTTCTTCTCTCCTATCCAAGCCTTTCTCCTATTTATCCTCTCTGACCTACAACCCCACTTATCTTTGCTCTGCTTAGCTATTGATGCTCAGCTCTTTATTAGACCAATCAGGTGCCTTAGGCAGGCAAGGTGAAGCAGCAACACATCTTTTCATAATTAAACAAATGCAACACAAACAAATGTATTACACCTATACATCATTAAACAAATGCAGCATAAATAAATGTCACACACCTTTACACAGTTAAAGTAATATTCGACAGCATAAACAAATGTGACACATCTTTTCCTAGTTAAAGTAATATTCCACAACAAAACCATTTCTTCTGGTCCTAGTGTTTCCTAGTTGCCCATAGTTCTTTGTCTAGGATTAAAGCCTGGCAAACTGTCCCCTTTCCATATTAGCATGTCTGTTGAAGTTGTCATTGTTCAGGTCTTGTGTAGATAGCTATATTGATGAAACTTTGTGGTTGTAGCCTCTCTGATATTTCTAGGAAACAGAATCTCACAACAGATTTCCTGTTCTGGCTCTTACCTTCCTTTTGGCACCTTATTGCTCTGCTTATAATCTCTGAGCTTTAGGAATTGTTTTGTGGATTTATCAGTTGGGACATGGTCTCCATATGATCTCTTGTTATCTGCATTTTGATCTGTTGTTTTTTGTAATGGTCTCCACCTGTTGTAAAGAGAATTTTCTCTGATGAGGGATGAGATCCTCACTCATCTGTAAGTATAAGGATAAGTATTTAGAATGTAGTTAGTGATTATGCCAGTTTGGTAAAGTGTAGATTGTAGGTTCCCCTCCAAGATCCATGACTTTAGCCCTGGATAGTTTGCTAGGTTTCCAGTACCAGACATGAATTCCTTCTTGATGAGAAGGTCTTAAGTTCAACTAGATAGCTGCTGGTTATCAACAAGGTATGCATGCCACTATTGTACCTTTATGGTTATGATGCCATGCTGGCTGTTGTGGTTCATAGGCATCATAGCTGAGGTAGGACTGTCCCATTCTTTTCCTCGGAAGCTTGCATGGTGCCTTTTGGTGCCATGAAAACTAGTTCTCTGGAAGGAGTCTTTCAGGTCAGATCCAGTTCAGGTCCCCTGGATCTTGTGTTGAAAGTGCATAGTGTCTTCAGCAATAGGAACTTACCTCTGGGAGGTAACCAAGGGCAACATCAATAACCTATAATGTTTTTGGGGTCTCTTGAATAACCCTATCCAACAACTCAAAAGAGGGCTTCTCATGTCTAGTTTGGGGATTTTTTTGTTGGCTATTCTGTTGCTCTTGAGTGGAACGTTGTCAGTACAGATGGGAAATTTTCATTTAAATTATGTATGTATATGCAGACTTCTTTGTATTATTTGTAATTTTTGATAGATAATAGATGTCTTTTGGCTTTTTCAGGAATCCTGTTACTTTACCCTTCTCTCTCTATTTATCTATTTTCCTTCCCTAATTGAAGCCACCCTTTCCCCATTTCCCCCTGAAAATTCCCTTTTGTACCCTGTTCTCCCTTCTCTATTGCTCATACCCCACTTCACGGTCCCATTCTACTTTTCTGGTTTCTGTAGTTACCCCAGGTTATATGTACACATCTGAAGATTTGGAGCTAGGAATCGCAGATGAGACAGAACATGTCACATTTGTCTTTGGATTACATCACTCAATATGATTTTTTCAAGTTCTATCCATTTATCTTCAAATTTCATGATTTCATTTTTCTTTACTTCTGAATAATATTCCATAGTGTTTATGTGCCACATTTTCATTATCCATTCCTTAGTTGAAAGATATCTAGGTTGTTTCCATTTCTTAGGTATTATAAATATAGTGGCAATGAACATTGCTGAACAAATTATGGGAGTTTGCTGAGTAGTTTTTTAAAGATTTATTTCTATGTGTATGAGTGCTTTGTCTGCATGTATATATGTGTATCCTGTGCATGTCTGATGCCTGTGGAGGCCAGAAGAAGGGTATCAAATCACTGAAGTTATAGATGATTATGAGTCAGTATGTAAGTGCTAGGACCCAAACTCAGGTCCTCTGCAAGAACAGCAAGTGCTCTTACCCTCCACCCTGGTTAGATTTTTAAAGATTTCTTTTAACAGTGTTTTGTAGTCTCCTTTTTTATTTAAATATATTTGTGTGTGTGTGTGTGTGTGTGTGTGTGTGTGTGTCCTTGCCTTAGTGTGCATGTAGTCTAGAGTCTGACTTCAGTTACTTTCCTCAGTTGCTCTCCACTTTATATTTTTGAGGCAAGGTTTCTTACTGAACTAGAATTTGCCATATTGGCCAAACTGACTGGTCAGTGAGCCTCCAAGATCTGTCTGTTTTTGCCTACCCCCAGTGCTGGGCTTTCTGACACTCAGTGCCATGTTGAGCATTTATGTAGGTGCAGGGGATCTAAATTCAGGCCTTTGTGTTTGTGTAACCAAGTACTTTACTCATTCATTCACCTTTTACATTATACCAGTAGTGTATAAATGTTGCTTGGTATTCTCACTAACACTTGATATAATTAATCCTTTTCACTTTAACTATGTTAGAAGGCATGCCATGACATATTGCATTTTTGATTTTCTGTGTGATAATGATGTTGAATATCTTCTCAAGTGCTTGCTTACTTTTCAAACTTTTGTTTCCTTGTTTTAATTTTCCATGTAGTCCAGGCTGGTCTCAGGCTTGTGGCAATCCTCCTGCTTCAGCCTACTGAGTTCTGAGGTTACAAGTATGTGTTATCATACCATGACAGCATTTTGTCAAAATTTTAATTGGTGTATTACTTAATCTTCATATTATTGAGTTGCAGAAATTCTTTGTATACTCTGGATATATGTTCTTTGTTAAATGGATGTTCAGTAAATAGCTCTTTCTCTCATAGTACTGTAGATTGAACCTGGGCCTTGCATAGTCAAGTGCTCTACCGCTAAGCTATACATTCAGCTAGTAAATATTTATCTTAGTCTTGTCCTAGCTGCTAAATGTTAAAAGAAATATGTCCAAAAGATTTTAATGGCCTTCTTCCTTAAGCCCTCACAAGAACATATGAAATACAAAGCTGCCTTCATTTATTCTTCATTTCTAGGTAAATAATGCTTGCATAAAATATGGTATTAAAATGATAGCTAATGAGAATTGTCATTGTTCAACTAAATGACTTTAACCGCTTTAAATAATTGGGCACAGTAATGAGGTGACACTATTTCATTTCAAAAAGTTGAATAAATGGAAGGATAAAAGAAGGAACAAGCCAGGTTTGGTGACTTACATGGTTACTCTAGCACTCAGGAGGCTGAGGCAGGGGGATTGGTATGAATTCCAGGCCAGCCTGGGACATAGGTTGAGAATTAATCTCAAAAAGAGAATATACAAGTGGTCTTCCTCTCATCCAAGCTTAGCTTCTGAAATCAGGTGTGTGTGAGATAGTGTGACTGAGGATGACAACTGTTCTTTCTCTCCAGTTGCTGTTTAAGAGTTCAGTGGCATCTAAGGGTATTGGAATCTTTTCAAAGGAGAATCTTTGGCTCCCTGTTTATTAGCTGTGTGATCCTCAGCAAGTTACTCAACTTCTCTGTGTCTCCTTATCTTCATTTATAAAAATGAAAATAAAAATGGGACTTGTCTAATGCAGTCACTATGCTGACTGGCTAAAAGAAAACACATGTTAGCACACAACAATGGCTCAGACTAGACACCAAGACCTCAACACTGCCTCCCTCACTCTGGTTTGCAGTGGGTTTCTATGGGTGGCTTTGCCAACACGCAGGTGAGACAAGCTGTTTGAAGATTTCTACTGAGATGGACATATGAAAGAAAAGCCAAATTCTCTCTGTGGAAGGCTTTACTTTCAGACACAGTCTTTCTCTTTGTTATGATGAGCCTTTGTAATAATATTATTGGTCCACGTGTCTCTACATATTGGACATAAGAGTAATAGCTAGAAATTATTGAATGTCTTATACATTGACTGTGAACCTAAATGAGGGGGGAGGGGAGTGATTGGGATATTGCTCATTGGTAGAATGCAATAAAATAGAGCAAAAAGTAGAGAGGGGAGAGGAGTTAGACATTAAAAAATGTCTCTTAGGCAAAGTAACTTGCCTTTGAACACACAGGCAATTAGAAGTGACAGAGCTGGTATTCAGACATAAGGCTCTGATTTCCCAATCATGCAGTTTGCACTCTGCCACGTTTCTTGTGTTATTCTTGACTTCTTGCATATTTCTGTATTAGAGACTGATATGAAGCAACTTCATTTCAGAAAGTGGACATGGGTGACTTTATAATACAATTGTACAAAGGAGCATCCTGGAATTTGTGGGTGCTTTATGTACTTCTCCTCTAAGAATTGCCAGTCACTGAGCCACTGTTTCAGCCTCTAGAAAATAAGCTCTTGTTCCTTGAAAGTAGAGGAGTTAGCCAAAGAGTGGGCCAAAAGGGAAACCCTTCTGTTTATTAAAGAACATTTGTATTCGACTTACACTGTTCAAAATCCTCTTCTATTGTAATGTACATACATTTGGCTAGTAGAAACTTTTCTGGGCTAAACAATGCACTTTTCATGTTGAAAACAAAGAGTGTCCTCTGATCTTTGAATGCATGTGTGCGGACATGTAATAGACTCTTCAGTCTAGAACAATGAACGGCTTCAGAAATGGGAGCAAAAAGACACAAAAGGGAAAAAAGTTATTGGTGTGAATCTGTTGGAATGCTTAAAATCTATAACACTTACTCAGAAGGAATAGACCTAGCTATTGTGTAACAGACTTCTCATTTCAGGATAAGGGGCATCTCAGATTTACCTCACAGTGTGGACAAGGAGATGCTTAGTAATGACCCATCTTGAGTCAATGCTGGGTTTTGACCTCCAATTGTAAACGTTGTCACTCTTTTGGTTTTGGTTGAGCTTTCCACTTCCTGGGTAGTTGATATGTTTTATGGAAATAGTAACAGTTTCTTTAATAGTCAAATAACATCAATGCCAGTAGTTGTTTTTTCTTTTCCTCCCTTTTTGGCAGTGCGGGGGTGGGGGGGTGGAACTCAGAGCTACGAGTGTGCTTTTGACCATCAAACTACGTCCCCAGCCTTTCCATTTTTTTATGTATGTGGATGAGTCATCTATAATCCCAGCATTTGGGAGGCTGAGGAAGGAGAATTACTGATAGTTCAAGGCTAGCCTGGGCTATATGATAATTCCCAGGCCAGATGAGGTCACAGAATAAGACTTGATCTCAAAATCAAACCAAATCCACAAAAACAAGACAGTCTAAGCTGTGATGTAACAGATATTGTACTTCATAAGTAACTTAGTTTTGTAAGGAGACACTGATTTTGTCATCACAGGTAGGCAGGATTAATGGGTGGGACGGGTTCCTTCTTAACATAGTGCCAATCTCTTTTCCTTGCAGTGCCTGGTACTTCTAGGTCAGTCCTGGCTGAAGAAATATGGTTACTATAAGATTATCTTGATTTCTTTCTACCTAGAAGGAGCAGCTGCCATTGTCATGTTACTTCTGGGACAGGAATACTATTACTGTTTGGCTGTTTATCTCACTGTTATCATGTAAGTAAATGCCAGGTCTATTTCAGCACTATACCACACTTTTCCAGCACCCTTCCAAACTTGGAGATATCTTTAATCTGGTTAGCCGGAGTTATAAGCATGAGCCACCACACCAGGCTTAACATACTTGATCTGAATTGGAGTTGAATTATCATTTGTAGGCTGGAATATTGCACTTCTCAATGAAATAGTTTGGCTATTAACAGCTTGTATTTAGGAAGTATTTCATATAGTAGATTTGTAGCAAAGATAATCTCTGTTTTTGTTTGTTTTTTGTTTTTGTTTTTCGAGACAGCGTTTCTCTGTATTGTTTTGGAGGCTGTCCTGGAACTCCCTCTGTAGACCAGGATGGCCTCGAACTCACAGAGATCCGCCTGTCTCTGCCTCCCAAGTGCTGGGATTAAAGGCATGTGCCACAAACACCCGGCTATAAACTCTGTTTAATAGCAGTACAGTGGCTCACCCCTGTAACCTGGCACTCAGAGGCTGAGGCAGGAGGATTGCCGTAAGTTCTAAATAAGCCTGGACTATGAGTAAGACTGTGTCTCAAAAGAAAATAAAACCAACTAACCAACCAACCAAACAAACAAAACATATAACAACAACAATAAAAAAACCCAAACCAAAAAGCCTCACCAAGGGACTATGAGATGATTCAGTTGGTAAACTGCTTTCCACAGAAACTTAAGTGTCCTTGGCACCCATGTAAACAGCCAGACATAACAGCATGCTCTGTAACCCCCAATGCTTGGAATCAGGGCATGGACCATGGGGTAGGGAAAGCAAGATCCCTGGAGCTCACTGGCCAGCCTACCTAGCTGAACTGGTGAGCCATAGGTTCAACGAGAAAGACTTTGTTTTAAAAATAAGATGGAGGGCTGGAGAGATGGCTCAGCAGTAAGAGAGCTTACTCCTCTTGTAGAGGCCCAGGTTCAGTTCCTGTCACCCACATGGTGACTCACAACAGTCTGTAACTCCAGTTCCAAGGAGTTGATGTCCTTATCTGACTTCTGTGGGCTTCTATACATACATGGTACACATACATAACTCCAGTCCCATGTGCTGGGACTGCCTGCATGTATTACTGTGCCCAGCTTTGCTTGTTTTAAAATTATTTTATGTGTATGAATGTTTCACTTGTATGTGTGTACCTGATGCCAACAGAGGCCAGAGGAGGTTATAACTCTGGGATTGGAGTTATAGATAGTTCTGAGTTCCCATGTGGGTGCTGGGAATCAAACCTGGGTTCTCTTAATGGGCAACCAGTTGTCTTAACTGCTGAGTCATCTCTCCAGGCCCTGTTTTGTTTTGTTTTTAATAGATCTATGCTTTGTTGTTATAGAATGTTCATATGTGTACAATATTTTAATTTTTTTCTAGGGTGATTATACAAGCCTCTTTTTGCTTATTTAACTTGCCACTGGCTGACATGGTTGATGCAGATTTACTGAAGTTTAACGGGCAGTAAGTATATTTGTTCAGCTATTAAGTACAAAATGTCACAAGGACTTACCAGAGTCTCTATAGCTCAGTTATATTGACACCAAAAATACATACCAGAATAATGATCCTAATGGCTGTCCTGTTACTGGGATCAAGGGAACAGAATATTGTAGGACGTTCATGTTTCTTCACCCTGGGCAACCTTTCCTTTTCTTGGTTTGCAATGTTGTGGTTTGAACCTCAGGGCTTTGTACATGGTAGGCAAGTGCTCTACCCTTGAGCTATATCCCTTGCCCCTGGCAATATTTTCCTATTTCTGAAAGGACATCATAATTTTTATTGCTTAGGTTCACAGCCAGTGCTACATCAGGTTTAAAGTTTAGGAGCCAAAGCGAAATCTCAATTTGTTTTCTGTTGTACGGATTGCAATTACCAAATGCAAATACACATAAACTGCTCATTGTCAGATAATTACCAAATGCAAATACACATAAACTGCTCATTGTCAGATAAGCAGAGTGATACCTCTCTGAAGTCTCAGCCTCTCAAGACTGTTGCTGGAGGATCACTTGACTTCTAGGCCATTCATATGGCAAGACCTTGTCTCAATAAATAGCTGTGTGTTGTGACTCACACCTGTAATCCTAGCACTGTGGAGACTGAGGCAGAAGGATCACCTCAAGTTCAGGGTTTAACTGAGTTGAACATAGTGAATTGCAATTCAACTGGGCGACATAGTCTGCCTCAAACAAACAAACAAACAAACAAAAAACAGCAACAAAAAGAATAACAACAAAGGAGTTACATTCTATTATCCCTTAAAATTGAGGAACTAATATTTTGTGATTACTAAGATATTTCTATAGATGTTTACTTAAATCAAAGGGAACTTCACATGAAGAGGCCTTTCACACATAGATATGCATACATACTTGAGCACGGAAATACAATAGATGTGCTGGGACAATGGAGCACACCTTTAATTCCAGTACTTGGGAGGCAGAGGCAGATGAGTCTCTGTGAGTTCAAGGCCAGCCTGTTCTACAAAGTGAGTTCTAAACAACAAGCCAGAGCTACATAGTGAGACACACACACTGTCTCAAAGAAGAAAAAAGTGCAACAAATGTGATTTATTTTAAGACCAATGCTTTTTTTTGTCTGTTTTAGGTCTCCCCTTTCCTTGATGGTTTTTGGCATCAGTGCTTTGTTTACCAGACCTGCCCAGTCTTTAGCTCCCATGTTGATACTGTCTAAGCTAAACCAGTATGGATATGGAGAGCCAAACAACAGGTAGAGTAAAACAAAACAAAACAAAACAAAAACCTTTGCTGTCATGCAAGCAAATTCACCCTTTCCCATTAACTATAAGAAATTGTCTTGACGCCTGGCAGTGGTGGCGCGCGCCTTTAATCCCAGCACTCCAGAGGCAGAGGCAGGCGGATCTCTGTGAGTTTGAGGCCAGCCAGGTATATAGAGTGAGTTCCAGGACAGCCTCCAAAGGCACAGAGAAACCCTGTCTTGAAAAGACAAAACAAAACAAAGAAATTGCCTTGAACTTTGGATATTGTTAGCTATTAACTCAAATGTCTCAGTTGAGTTGTAATAAAATGTCTTATTTCTGAGGACTTGCTTATATGCTAGATAAAACAATACTGGGAATTAAATAAGAATAAGGAGCATCCATAGGGCTCTAGAGATTACAAAATACTGAGATAGGTCCCACCAAGCCTTGGGAAGATAGCTGAGTGGTAGAGCACTTACTTAGCATACAGGAAGCTCTAGGTTTGATCTTCAGTATCACAAAAATAAAAAGGATTGTACCAGAAGTACACAGGTACTGTGATTATGCCCCAGTCTGCCTATGGTCAGGGAACACTCATGGGCAAGGGACTCTATAGATCCAAGTGGGAAGAACAGGCACCTGCTAAGACCGAGCTCCCTATTATGAGTAGGGATCTTAGACCTTCTGTGGTTTTTTTTTTTTTTGTCAGAGCTTTGTAGTTTTCCTTGTGTAGATTTGGCTTATTTTTTCAGGCTTATATCTAAGTATTTTATATTGCACTAATATAAGTAACATTCCATTTGTAATTTAAAATTTACTTGCTTATTTCTTGTAGATAAGAAACACATTGACTTTGTTGGGGTAGGCTATTTTGCAGTCTTTTTTATAATATTTTTTAGTTCTGGTAATTTTTTTCTGTCAATTTTATGGTTTTTCTATATAAACAAAGGGTTTTACGTTTTGTCACAACTTCTCCCTCTACCACTTTATTACAAACACCTTCAAATACGTGGAAATATAAAGTTTGACCATGATCACATGTAGAGTCAGCTGTGTGTAACCCTGTGTGTGCCCCTATCTTCCGATTATCAAGACAGACATCTTCTTTTTCCTCACAACTTTTTGTTACAAACATTTTTTTTGGTTTTTTGAGACAGGGTCTCTCTGTATTGTTTTAGAGACTGTCCTGGAACTCACTCTGTAGACCAGGCTGGTCTCGAACTCACAGAGATCCATCCGCCTGCCTCTGCCTCCCGAGTGCTGGGATTAAGGGCGTGTGCCACCAACGCCTGGCTATTATTACAAACAATTTAAATACACAAAATAGCTTAAAGTACAGAGAAAATTCATATAGTCACTCTTAGATTAAATAATTGATAATGTAAATATTTGTTTCTAGAAGCTTGTATCTTTGGTTATTCAGTGAGTGTGTGTGTGTGTGTGTGCACCAGCAACCGTATGTACACGTTCTATGACAAGAGTTGGTTCTCCTTCCCCTGTAGGGCCCAGGAATTGAGCTTTAGTTGTTAGTCCTGGCAGCAAGCACCTTTATCTACTGAACCATCTTACTAGCCCCTGACCTGAACCTCCTAAGTGTTGGGCTTACTGAGATGAGCATACACTTCTATACAGTACTTCTTCGTGGAGTACATATAATCTGGTACCGGGGATTGAACTCAGGGCTTTGAACAGCATTTGCATCTTTTCTGTAGAATGTACAGGAACTCTTTCATAATCTCAGCTTCTCCATATACTAGGTGACTGGTTTTCTTATTCAAGGAGCTGCTTATTCAAGTCTCAAGCAAGTTTGTGGTAGAAAGCTATGGTGACCAAAAGGGGGAGAAGACACTTGATGTGATGGCTATACATCTCTCACATTAGCTTATTCTTAGAGAGTTGTGACAGCAAGGGAGGAAGAGCAGGTGTTTTTAACTCACTCTGATTATTTGTGTTCTCAAAAACACAAAGGCCCCACAGTCAAGCTTCTCAATCCCATTTGTAGAATCACAAGCTCCAATGGCCAGGTCACACCCCAGACCAGTTCAATCAGAAACTCCGGAGGTATGATACAGCCACCAGCATCTTTGAAACTCCCCACCTTTCCTCTTGTGCAGCCAAGGGGAGGAACCTCAAGATTTATAGCCTTGGGAACAGCAGCTCTGAACACTAATTCTTGCTGGCTTAGCAACATGACACGTTGGCAGCCTGACATGTTGGCAAACCAGTTTTGTGATACTGTAACCATTTTCCGAGATACAAGCTCATACTGGCACTTGAATATCTTTTATCTTTTAAGTGATAATTAACCCTTGGCCTCTGGTGGCCCCATGTGGCTCATGTTACCTGAAAGTCCATAGGCTAACTGTAGCTCTCAGCAGGTGTGCTTTGCTGAGTATATCTCTGTTCAGTTGAAACCTCTGACAGGAAGTTCAATTCCTGTCTTGTTCCCCAAACCCCTTCCACTCAGAGAGTCTATGAACAAAGAAAGGTACCAGAAAGCCCAGTTCTACATTCTTGGTGGCTGCTGCAGCTTCTTCCTCTGAAGTTGCCAACTGCCCAAGTCCCTGCCTAAGCACTCAGCTTTTTACTATATGTGGGCACAAGCCCAGCTTGTGGCAGACATGTCATCATCCTGTGCCTACAACCTATAAAGTTTTCCAGCTTTCGTTTGTGGGCGCGGCTTCTTGTCTTGATCTCTAGGACTGGAGAACCTGCCCAGGAGTTGCTTTGCTCAAATAAACCTGTTATACCTTTTCAAATGGGCTTGATCAGGCTTACTGCATTGGTGGAGAAACCTATTGTGATGGTGGTGTGGGACTAAACCTATTAAGCTCCACCAGTGTGAAGAACTGAGCAAGTGTGTCTATTGAAATAAATGTCACTCTAGCAGATAAGCTTTCTAGCATTTGACTCTTCTTTTCCTTCCTCCCTCCCTCCCTCCCTCCCTTCCTTCCTTTCTTTTTCAAGACAGGGTCCCTCTATGTAGTCCTAGCTGTCTTAGTATTCACTCTGTAGACCAGGCTGGCTTTGAACTCAGAGATTCATCTGCCTAAATGCAGTAGTACTGCCAGTGAGAAGCTGAGGCAGGAGATAGTGTGAGCTTTAGGCCAGGTTGGTCTACATAGTGAGTTTCAGGCTAGCCTAGACTAGAGTAAGACCCTGTCAAAGAGAAAAAGGAAATAAAATTATTTTCTGCAAGAGATTATTTTACTATCTGTTTAATGTACATATTTACTTCTTTTTAATTGTGTGTGTGTGTGTGTGTGTGTGTGTGTGTGTGTGTGTAACTCCTGCTAAAAATTACATGAACTATGGGGCTATAGTTCAGTGGTAAATCACTTGCCAAGTGTGTGTGAACTTCAATTTCTGGCATTGCAAACATGAAGAGACAGTTTTGAAATTATAGAATAAGTTATCATCATATTACACAAGAGAATGCACAATCAAGTTCTAGCATTTTGTAGAAAAGACCTCCTCCTTTCATTTGCTCAACTAAGTAGATTTGTGTTCTTTTTTGGCAGGCATTTGTGGAATTTTTGCCATGTTAATACTGAGCTAGGAGCTAGAGTCCTAAGGTTTGGTCCCTCTCTGCTTACATGGCATTAGGGAGGCAGAAGGGCAAGTACAGTACACCAAGCCAAGTCCAGAGTTTAGAAAAGCCACAATGCAAAGGAACACAGGCTTGTGATTGGTTACTTGCACTGGATGCATAACGACACCCTCTCTATGTGCCAGGAATGCCCTGCAGTTTTGGCCAAGCTCCTGATACTCCACAGGACATTAGGAATTCAAAGGTACATTTTTACCAGGGGTCATAGGCTGCTGGTTTGATTCACTGGATTACACCGTCATCTACTGGCCTGTTGTAGATAATTTATTAATAAAATTCATTATTTAAGAAATAGCTTTTGCTAGGTATGATGGCTTATACCTGTAATACTAGCTCACAGGAGACTGAAATAGGATTGCCATGAGTTTGAAACCAGCCTGTACTATACAGTGAGTTCCAGGCTAGTCTGAGTTGTAGTGTAAGAGCCTATCTAAAAATTCAAACCAAACCAGATCTGTGATCAATCTGATTTATATAAATGCATGTTTCTTTCTTCCTTTTTTTCCCAATGCTGGAAATGTGATCCAGAGCTTGGGACATGCTATGTAAATGCTCTACCATTAATCTCTATCCCAAGCCATACAAGTGTGCTGTTAAAAGTTGTGTGTGAGCCAGGCAGTGCAGGGGCACTTGGGAGGCAGAGGTAGGTAGATCTCTGTGAGTTCAAGGCCATTCTGATCTACAGAGTGAGTTTCAGGACAGCCAGAGTGATTACACAGAGAAACCCTGTCTCAAAAAACAAACAAAAAAGGTTATGTATGTAGCATTCCTTGTGAATGCTATATCCTATCATAGAGATACTTGCATATCCATAGTTATTACTGCTCTATTTACTATATGTAGCAGTGAATTAGATCCAACCTGTGTGTCCATCTACAGATAGATAATGAGTCTGATACATATATAAAATAATATGAATATTATTCAGCTCTAATCCCATACATGCCTTTATTCCCAGCACTTGGAAAGCAGAGGCAAGATTTCTGTGAGTTCAAGGCTAGCCTCATTTCCATACAGAGTTCTAGGCCAGACAAGGCTCCATAGAACATGTCTAAAAATCCCCAAATAAAATAATAAATTATATATATATGTATATATACACACATATACACCATTTTTGCTGGTTTTCTGTCTTGACATTTCATAATAGATACCTTCAAAATTGTATTCTTGAAGAAACTTTAAAGAGTGTCTTTTTCCTCCCTCAGTGGCATAGCAGACAACAATAGCAAGAACTCAATTCAGATACAAAATGAAATCTCAGAGTGACTAACCCAAATAACGTTTTCCTTTTTCAATGGCATAGTAGACAACAATAGCCAGGACTTGACTCACCTTACAGCTTCAAAATAGCCTCAAGGTTTGTATCATAAAACACTTGTTTATTTATTTAGTGTGTGTGTACATATATATGTATGCACATGTATGTAGAGGGCAAAGGTCAACTCAGATGTCATTTCTGTGGTACTATTTCATTTTTTACATAGGGTCTGTCACTGGCCTGATGCTCACCATGTAAATTAGGCTGGTTGGCCAGTGAGTCCCAGGGATCTTCTCTTATCTCTACCCCCCCAGTGCTGGGGTTACAAGTACACAGCATCATATCAGGCTTTTTATGTGGTTTCTGGGGCTGGAACTTGGGTCCTCATGCTTACATGGCAAGCATTTTCCTGACCAAGCTATCTTCCTAGACCACATGGTTGTATTAACAGTTTTCTAGGTTATTAATATTGAGTTTGTTTATGCATATAATCTTTGTTTGTTTATTTGCTTGGTTGAGATAGCTTTTTTTTTCCTATGTAGCCCTGACTATTCTGGAACTTGCTTTGTAGACCAGTCTGGTTTCAAACTCTCAGAGATCCTCCTACCTGTGCCTTGGCAGTGCTGGAATTAAAGGTATGTACCACCATCCCCAGCCAATATATATATAATCTTGGCAAGAAAACAAAAAGGAAAAGAAAAAAGAACCTACAGCATCTAACACCTTCCTCTTTGGAGTCTGCATAGCTATTATAGGTGCACAAAAAGAACTAGAAAAAAAAGCCAGCAGTTAGAACATTCCATGCATTGCCTCAGATTTGTATTTTGGTGAGACGCAACTTCCTTCTTCCCCTTCCCCAGCATTGTGAACTGGAAAGACAGCATTAAAAGCTGGCAAAATGTTAAAGTTGGAAAGTACATATGAGCGCATGTATGTTTAGAAATATAGAGGTAAGCACTTATTTTGAACCAACGTTTAAGTCTAGGCTCTAACTCTAGTAGATACAATTGTTTTCATTGTTTTAAATTAAGAACATTTGGTCAAAAAGATTACAGCCAGGGCTACATTGCTTTACTGATACCATGTCAGAGATGGGGTTCTGAAATTGGGGCCGGAATTCTAGAACCACAGTAATATATGTACTTAGGGTTTTTCCATAGAATTATGCCAATGTTAATTTTCACCCCATAGCATTTCCTGTTTACTTCTGTAAATGGACCTAGTGTTCCATTGCAAAGGGGTCAGCTGAGGAAACTATTTAATCCAAAGGAGGGAGTATCAATCTTAAGGTGTTTATGGAGAAACACTAGACTATTCCACTCCCACCCATCCCTTATAGTCTTCATAGATGGAGGTAGCAAGTTATGTATTTGTGAGTTTTCCTGACTCAAAGTCAAAAGAGACTATCCTGCCAGGTAGAACTGAAATTTCCTTGGCCTTTTCCAACATGAGCGTGCCTTTCCTTACTGATACTGACTTGACTTACAACTCCATTGACATAACTGCCTGTTTTTATGACTGGTAGTAAAAGTCATTTCATGGATGCAGCCCCAGTAATATCATGCACTTAGAAATGATATCAACAGGTAAAAGGAGAGTAGAGAGGAAACAGGCTTCACTTAAGCTTTGTGATTAGGGAAGAGTCTAAGTGTAATAGAATTTGAGGTGCTACTATGATAACATGTATTATGCCCCCTTTGCTTCATAGAGTTGACTTTGTAAATGGCTTAGCAGGTGTAAGTTAAAGTAAGGTGTACCAGATGGTAATATTTGGGGATATTATTACTTACAATTAGGTAGGTTTTTTCTTTTGAAAGAAGAAAATAATGAGAGAAAATGGGGTGAATGTCATTTTCTCATAAGGAGAAATATCATTATAATTATACACTAAAATACATTTGTTTATGGTTTCTTTGCTTCTGCTAGAAGGTAGGGCTTGTTGAGTGCCAAGATTGTTTGCTCTACATCCCAAGAACCTAATGTAGCAAATGTGCTGTAAATATTTGGTGAAAAAGGCATAAACCAAGCTTATGAATGAATGAGTGCATGTGCCATGGTGTAAGTGGGAGTCAGTTGTCTGTGTGTGTCCCAGGATCAAATGTGGCTCACTGATCCATCTTGCTTGCCTGAAGAATTACTTTTATGCTGGACATTCCTTCAGAATGTTGGTGTCTTACTCACTGTTCTATTGCTGTGAAGAGGCACCATGATTAAGGCAACTTATGAAAGGAAGCAATTAATTGGGGGTGTGTTTACAGTGTTAGAGGATGAATCCATGATCAACATGGTGGGAAATATAGCAGCAGGCAGGCCTGGTGCTGGAGAGGTAGCTGAGAGCTTACATATGATCTGCAAGATGGAAGCAGAGTGAGAGCACTGGACCTGACATGGGTTTTTGAAATTTCAAAGCCCTCCATAGTGACACACCTCCTCCAAGAAGGCCACACCTCCCAATCCTTCCTGACAGTCCACCAACTATCCGGAAACCAGACATCCAAATATATGAGCCTGTGGGGGTCACTTTCATTCAAACCACCATAGTAAGGTTGGAAATGAGAGGTGAAGTCATTCTGACAGAAAATTAGCTAAATTAGTCAATGAGTTCATCCATATTCCAGTAGAGAGAGGAGAATCAATTCTCTAAAATCACCTCCTTGACTTGGAATAAAATTTTAGGAGAAAGAATAAATGTTGAGAAAGTAGAAGAAGGCAGACATGATGGATGCCTGTAATCTCAGATGAATTGTCCCTAGTTTGGGGCAGTCTGATCTATAAAGCAAGCTCCAGGCCAGCTGCAACAAAACCCTGTTTTGAGAAAATGAAAGAACTTGGGAGACAAATCTTGAAGAGCTTCAAGACAGCCTGCGAACTCACAGGTACTTTGGGAAGTGTGAAGCCATTCAATGATGACTGCAACAAAAGCTCAAGTGTTCCTCGTGGATCCCCCCAGTCCCTCTCCCTTCCCACTGCCCTAGAATAGATGCCCGGTTGTTAGATTCATTGGAATGTTTGTTCCTTTGCTGCCTTTGAGCATGTAGCCTAAGGGTGTGTGTGTGTGTGTGTGTGTGTTAATGTTATATGCATGTGCAGGTACACATTATGAAGGCCAGAAGAGGATGTTGGCTGTCCTTCTATATCACTCTATACTGCTTTGATACAGAGTCTCTCATTAAACTTAACCTTAGACTGGCAGCCAGAAAGCCATATCCATCCTCTTCACCTACAAACCTCAGCATGGAGATAGAGGTAGTGAGTAGCTATGCCCAGCTTTTTTGTTTTTACACTGCTGGCATGCAAACTCAGGTCCCCATGCTTTAGCTCACTGCCTACAGAACCATCTCTCCAGCATCCCCGAGCCTAAGTCAGCATGCTCACGAGAGGCTTTGACTCTGAAAATCATCACAGGTGTTCTCCAGACCCTTCTCCCCAGGCAAACAGGAGAAAAAAGACACTTCCATCGCAGAAGTGGAAAATTTCCCAGAGAGAGCCCCTGGCATCTGGAGTACAATTTCTTGATATTTCTGAAGCTGGAATCTGTTACAGCTAGAGAATGTTGAAGGATAATGGGCTCCTGTTGCTAATGAAACACTGAGATCAGAACACATAGGTGCCTCTGCCAAGCATAAACCAGCCTTTTCATAAGGCACATATTGTAATAATTCTGCAAGTAGCAAGCAGCTCTTAGCTGTGCCCCCTCTAAAAAGGCTTGATTAGGCCACTTCCTTTCTCCCTTTTATTAGAGACATGATCCTGTTTCAAAGTGGAACTTAGGTCTCCATTACCTCTTGGCATTTGCACCCATTGTTTCCCATCTAGTGTGTCATGTGGCTCAAATCAATGAGCAGTCAAGACTGGTAAGCGATGCCTCCCGTTTATAAGCACCTACAGCCTCAAGTTCAAAAGCACAGTCATGACCTGGTGCTCTCATTCTGGAAATGTGTGCTTAGCTGTTTCAAACCTCTTTGTTTTAACCCTTTGTGGCCTATTCCATACTACTTTCACCCAGCATGATCAAAGTAGCTAGTTTACAGTAATGTGGGCATAAGTGCCAGCTGGAAAGGTATGATTTTTCAGACTGTTGTGGCTCCAGGTGGCAGAAATGTAGTGCAGGCTAGCCTCAATAGAATAGGGACCTCCTGGTTATGCCTGAAGAATGTCCTATGATGTCAGGAGATTTTTTTGACCTCTCTGTTGTGGCTTCAAGCTTTTACCACTTGGTAGCAACATAGCCCCAAGGTTTACTGACTGAACAGCTCCAGACTGTGAATAAATATGCACCTTTGACCCAGCAGCATATCCAAAGTCCCCAGGCAGATCCTCAGAGGCACCATCATGTGAGTCACATGCCTCTCACTGAGGCAGTAGTGATCACATAGGCATGACTTCCTCTAATGAGGTTTGGATGATAATAGCTGGCTGTTGGGGCTGGAGTGAGGCAATTAGGCCCCAGCAAGTCTTAAGGACAGAGACAGGTCTGCTATGGAAGGAGGGAGAGGATTTTTCTTATATTTTTGGTTGTAAGGCTAGCCTCTAACAGCCGAGCCATCTCTCCAGCCCGAGAGGAGTTTTCTTTCTTTTTTTCTTTTTATTCATTTTTTGATTTATAAATAATGTTTTATTTTTGGTATTTATTATACCCTGGTATAGGGTATTCTTTGAATTAATTTCTACATTTTTGTTGGTTTGAAATGTAATCATTATAAAATTAAGTTACATCACTTAAAGCCTGTGAAACTGGGAGAACAGTCTTGGTTCTTCATTTAGTACTTAGTTCTGGACTCCACAGAGGATTTTTCTTAAATGAGAGAATTCTGGGAAACAATATACCACATGCTTCTACAAATGAAGTTTTCCACAGAGGATTTGGGCAGAGCAGCAATGAGGCCACTGTCTGGATGCAGTGAGTAGTCTAGCTGCTGCCCTTGGCCCTGGTGGTTGTCTCAGTACACTAGAAGAAGCAGAAGAAATGCAGAAGTGAGTGGGCAGCAGGCAGGAGTAAGAGTGAAGGGTGGATTTAATGAGTGAGGGTTCAGAGGGATGGCCGCACCTAACAAATGTAACCAGACCAGAGTACCAAGAACATTTCATGACAAGACTTTCAGAGGGACGTAGATATGGCTGGAGTGTTTGTATATGATTCTAGACAGAAGGCTTCTAGCTGACATGTTTGCATTTTCTAGAACTGTTTATGTACTTTTTTTCCTGAGAAGCCTTTTCTAGACTTTACTTGCCAAGAATAGGTAAACCTTCTGACAGAGGGTTCTTGTCTGTCACCCTGAGAAGTTCCATCATAACACTTTTATGGCCATCATATGTATTAGAAACGAATGTCCAAACCCGCCCACTTGGTTTAAAGCTTTGCAGATTTTGAAGACTGAAGCATCCAAGGATGCAGATATCTCTGTAGCTCAGACAGACCTTGAACTCTCAGTCCTCTTGCCTCAGCTTTCCAGTAGCTCTGAACTACTGGATCAACAGACCCAGCAATAGAATTCTCTATTGTTTTTATTTCAGACAAGGTCTTGCTTGATGTGCAGACCTAGGTTGACCTGGAACTACCTAAGTAGTCCAGGCTAGCTTAAAATCCAGTCTTCCTACCTCAGCTTCCTGAGTGCTGGGATTGCAAGTATACACTACCATGCCTAGCCCGAGGGTACACTGAAAGTCTCTGCTTCGTGTCCTGGATTCTGTTCTCTGTCCACCTATGTATGGCATATGGTTCTGTGTCACAGAGGTGACACTTGTCAGCAGGGACTATAATCACAAGTTTACATGTCACTTTCATTTCCTGTGTGCAACTAGAATTACTCAGGTACTTGAAAAAATCAAAATTATACAACACAATGTCTCTGTCTTGTTAAATGAACTAATAGGTAAAAATGTTGCCAAATACCATGTGTTAAATAACTTTGATTAACAAGAAAAGAAGCTTCTGGTGGGAAATTAACTGTTGTATATCTTCTCCCGTAGAATGCTTTTAGATCTTCAAGACACCATGTTTAATTTGGTTTGTGTGGTCCCACTGGGCATCGCAACAGTGCAGACTCTGACTTGGAGCTCCTTCTCCGTCAGGAACAGAGCAGACTACTCAGGGACCATCTAAGCACAGTTGCCATGCTGGGCAAGGGTTACAACACTACTTGTCAGTTCTTATAGGTTTTGCTGCGCTCAAAATGATCAAAAAGGCAAAAATGTTCTTTACAACCTTTCATTTGTTTGAAAACCAAAGCAAATAAAGCAAAGTCTGATGGAGTTTTGAGAGCTTCTTTACTCTCTAAGTTATGACCTCTCCATGGGCTGTTTCCTGGCATTCTTACGGCCTGGGACCTGCGACTCTTCACTACCAGACTGCCTGCATTCCTAGAGCCAGTTGGTCAGTACACACCACTCTTTAAAATTCTTCAAACCTCATATTGCTTCTTTGACTAATTTTGTGAAGACAGCATTCTTCCCTCTTCTTTTTTCTACCGGGGCTAGGACCCTTTTGTGTGTTAGGCAAACATTCTACCACTGAGCTATATTTTTTAAAATATTTTATTTATTTATTGTTTATACAGTCTTCTGCCTGCATGCCAGCAGAGGGCACCAGATCTCATTCAAGGTGGTTGTGAGCCACCATGTGGTTGCCGGGAATTGAACTCAGGACCTCTGGAGGAACAGTCAGTGCTCTTAACTGCTGAGCCATCTCTCCAGCCTCAAGCTATGTTTTTAAAATGTTTTTTATTTTGTGTCAGGGTTTCATTAAGTTATCCATGCTCACTTTGAACTCACATTGCAACCCTGGCAGGCACTGAACTAGCAATCTTCTCATTTCAACCTTCCAAGGAGTTGGGATTACAGGTCTGTGCTACCAAGAGCAGGCCTCCTCTGCACCTTTCCCCATCAACACTGTATCACCATTGTCTGTATAGTTTTCTGTGATGAAAAGCCACGAAGGTCACTACACTCTTGATTTGGAAATATGCCACAAAACTAATATAGTGAAAACAGCACAGTGCTGGTACAGAAGCAGCTACATCAACTGTTAGAAAAGGACCAAGAGCCCAGAAATAGCCATCACATTTATAGTAAACTGATTTTTTGACAAGGGATCCAAAAACATAACAATGGGGAAAAGGTCAGTGTCTTCAATAAATGATGGTGAGAATAGCTATATGTGGAAGAATGAAATTTGACTCATTACACCAAACATAGAAGTCAAGTAAAGGGGCTAGAGCGATAGCTCAGAGGTTAAGAGCACTGGCTGCTCTTCCAAAGAACCAGGGTTCAATTCGCAGCCCCAAACATGGTGTCTCACAACCATCTGTAACTCCAGTTCCAGAGTATCCAGTACCCTCTTCTGGCCTCTGTACACACAAGGCTTACACATGGTACACAGATCTATGTGCAGGCAAAACAACCATGTATACAAAACTAAAAACATCAACAACAAAAAATCATTCAGAAGTCAAGTAAAAAAGACTCAAACACAAGCCTGAATACTGTAAAACCACTGAAGAAAAACACGGAGGATAAAGAAATGGGATTATATAAAACTGAAAAGTTTCTGCACAGCAATGGAAATAGTGAAGAGACATCACATACACTGGGAGAAAATATTTGCAAACCATTCGCCCCAAAAGGGGCTGATATCTAAAACATATAGCAAAATTCAACCCTAATATACAAAAACAAACATACTGGAAAAAATGGACAAAGGAGCCAGGTGTGGTGGTGCATACCTTTTATCCTAGCACTCAGAGGCAGAAGTAGGTCGGTCTCTGTGAGTTTGAGGCTAGCTAGCTCTACAAAACAAGTTCTAGGTCAGCCAGGTCAAAAGAGAGAGGGGGGAGGGAGGGAGGGAGGGAGAGAGAGAGAGAGAGAGAGAGAGAGAGAGAGAGAGAGAGAGAGAGAGAGAGAGAGAGAGAGAGAGAGAGAGAGAGAGAGGAGAGAGGAGAGAGAGAGAGAGAGAGAGAGAGAGAGAGAGAGAGAGAGAGAGAGAGAGAGAGAGAGGAGAGAGGAGAGAGAGAGCAAGACCCATATTTAGTATAAAAGTGTGACAGTTGTCTTCACTGTCAACTTGATTGGATTAGGAGTCACCTAGGAGACATGCCTCTCAGTGTGTCTGTGAAGGTGTTTTTGCATGAGTACAGCTGGGGGAGGAAGAACCATGTTGAGTGTGGGCACAGCACCATCTCAGTCTGGATTTCCAGCCTGAGTAAAAAGGGAGAAATACGGGGGTTACAGCACCATCGTTCATCTCTGCTTCCTGAGGTGACAGTGTGACCAGCTGCCTCACAGTCCCTCTTCTGCCATGATTCTGCCCTCTCAAATTATGAGTCAATATAAACCTTTTCAACCTGTAAGTTGCTTTCTGTTAGGTATTTGGTCACAGCATCAGGAAAAATAGCCATCAGTGAAGCTTTGTTGTAAATTTTGCAGCATGATTTATAAAAAACAAAACTTATCAGGGGTTTTCAGGGAGGGGTTTGGGTCAGTGGTAGACTTAGCATATATGTAGTCCTCCTGACCTATCCAGCACACAAATAGATCAATTCAGTTAGGTGTAACTTTTTTTGAGACAGAGTTTTAGTTTGTATACCAGATTGGCCTGGAACTTGCTATGTAGTACAGTCTGTCCTTAAACTAATGGCAGTCCTCCATCACAACCTAGTGAGTACTGGGACATAGGCATGAGCCATCACACCTGGATGACTGTATTATATGTTATAAATTACACACACAGAAACTTTTCCTGTGATCTGCTCTTTCTTACAGGTTCCTCTGTACATTTTTTAAAGTTTGTGTGAGATTGAACTCAGACTTTCAGCTTGAAAGCAGGCTTAGTGTCTGAGCCACTTCTCCAACCCCGCTGTATGCTTTTATAATCCATAAAACAATCACAAAATCAAAACTACTTTGGACAGTGTTAAGAAAATGAAAATGTACTCCACAAACTGCAAGGTAATGTTTACAAAATGCCTAGTGATAAAGGACTATTTTTGGATCAATAAAAGGCTCTAGATTCAATTGAAAATGACAATTTAATTTAAAAACATGTAAAGATTTGAATAGACACTTCATTACAGATGACACATAGTACCTGGAAATGTGCTTAACATTATTGTTCATTGCCGGGCGGTGGTGGCGCACGCCTTTAATCCCAGCACTCGGGAGGCAGAGGCAGGCGGATCTCTGTGAGTTCGAGGCCAGGCTGGACCGACAGCCTCCAAAACAATACAGAGAAACTCTGTCTCGTAAATACCAAAAAAAAAAAAAACAACCAACATTATTGTTCATTTGGAAAATGTGCAACAAAGCAATAATGGCAAAAGATATCATGGTGTAAGAACGAGAATGGCTGAAATAAAAACAGACAATAAACCAAATGCTGAGAAGGATTTGACTTTTCCCAACACACACATTCTAGGTATGAATTAAGATGATATAGGTGCTTTGAAAAATGAGAGCTTTTCTTGTGAGGAAGCCACGTTTCACATTTGATCTAGAAATCTCACTATTAACTTGCCCAAGAGAAATAAAAATTCATGTTCACACACAACACATATGTAAATCCTCATAGTGGCCTCATTCATATATCCAAAAAATAACGGAAACAACCCAAATGAAATGCCCCCCTGGCTGGTAAATTGATATATGATTTGGTACATCTACATCTTGGATCACTATGCAGCAATAGAAAGGATATTTACCAGATGTCAAGTACAGTAAGCTAATGCAAGAAGCCAGATACAAAAAACTATGTGATGTATGATTCAATTTGCAGGATATCCTGGAAAAGGCAAGCATGTCAGTGCAGAAGACACAGAAGTGGCTGCTATAGCCTGGAGTTGGATGTTGATTGCAAAGGGGCACAGGTTTTTTTTTTTTTTTTAGGTTAGGGGGTATTTTGTATCTTACTTTTGGTGGTGGTCACACAATTGCATATGTCAATATTCATGAATTATACACCAAAGATGGCAAGTTATCTTTAAAAACACAAAGTTGATGGTAGCACTTGTTCTCTTAGAAAGTTACCTTGCTGCTGTTTCACAGATGCCATCAGGAAATAATGCTTTTTCTTCTGGATTACCACAGCAGACGGTATTACATACCTCATGACTCTCAGATATGTTTTGTTAGGTCGTCATTGTTTCTGTTGAAAATCCTCCCTCTGTCTTCTCTTTGTGAACCATATTGAAAGCTCCATGTTTATAGAATACTGAAGTAGCACACCTGGGAGAATTCTGCAAACCTGCATTTTAACCAACACCAGAGTGGTGCTAGCATGCGGGGGCCTGTCCACAAGCACTAGGAGGCAGCAGAGCATTGAGGGGATGAAGGAATTCTGTAAGACTGCCAGGTTTAAAATCTTGCCTTACCAGATACCCACAGACAAACACTGAACTGAACTCCTGGAATCCAGTGTCAGAAAGAGAGAACTGATGGGCAAGGGAGTTAAGAGTGGGCTGGTTTAACCCACAGAAACAGCTGACCTGAACAAGGGGGAGCTATTGGACTCCAGATTGATGGCTGTGTGGAAAGCATGGGACTGACCCAGACCCCCTGAATGTGGGTGTCAGTGAGGAGGCCTAGGTAATCTATGGGGCCTTGGGTAGTATTTACCCCTGGCGTACAAATAGACTTTGAGTGCCCATGCCACAATATGGGAGGCTCTCTCAGCCAGGACTCTTGGGGGAGGGCCTAGGCCCTGCCCTGGATGAAATGACAGTTACTGGAGATCCACCATGGAGTGCCTCACCCTCCTGGGAATGATATGTGAAACAAGATTGTTTTTAACCTAAATAAAAAGAAAAAAGAAAAAAAATCTTGCCTTACCCCTTTTGCAGAGGAAACTTGTGGTGCCTTGTAGGTTGATGCAACAAAAAGGTGGGAATAGGAGGAACAATTTCACCAGAGTTATGAGGATTAAAAAAAAAGACATAAGACACCCAGCACTATGCCCCGCACCAAGTACATGCTGTCTCTGTTTTAAGTGGCAGGTGGTACCCACGCTGCAATGTGGGAAGGGACTCTCTTTCTGGATGAGTAGGCTGTGACCTAGATAAAGAATTCACTGAGGCAGAAATCTATCTTTTTCTGTTCATGTCTTGAGTTCTTCCTGGATGCTTCACAATGGACTGGAGTATGCATGCATGTGTGCCTGTACGTGATAGGCATGAATGACAAAGGCAAAGGATGTTATTTTGTATCATAAGAAGCTGATAATTTGTCCTATAGAGTTCTTATAATAACACCATCTCTACTTGTAA